CCGCCCCTCTCCCCCACACTCTCAACTCCCCCCGCCAGCTCTGCTTCCTGGCTCCTCCCCCTTCCTCCCAGACAATTCCTCCCCTTGCCCTCGATCAAGTGTATCCGTTTTTTTTTTTAAAACTACCTGATAACCATAGCCACGGGGGGCAGGGCCATTCTGTGCTTGGGGGTGGGGCAAGTCCTGGATGGCGCTAGGGGCCACAGGCAGCAGGCACGTAACCTAGGGTGGGCAGGGCTGCCCCCGCAGCGCAGCAGGTTATTTTTTATTTTTACAGGTTGAGATCAGGCCCGAACAGGTCCAAAAGTACCTTAAAACCTTCTCCTGGAGGAAAGGTTATCCCATGGAAAGTTTGGTTGCGGTAGGTCTCATAGTGTCCAAATTATTAGAGCACAAACATATAAACATTCTCCTTTATATATTAGATTTTCATAACTACACTCAAAACCAAAACACAAAACTTTAGTACTTACAAATTCCACTCAGTCCTACGCCTTGTTCAACCAATCAACATGGCAAATTAATTTATTACATTTGCCTGTTTCTTATTTACAAACTCATCTGAAAATGACAACAGACTTTCATATGGTACTGTGATAATTTGTTTTGCAAGCTATTTACAGGCCAGATATGCTAAACATTCATATGCCCTTTCATGCTTTGACTTGTAGGCTCAAATTTTACATTGTTTTATTTTTTAGGGTAATTGAGAAAAAAAATCCAATTCTACATTTTAAGTTGCACTTTCACGATAAAGACATTGTACTACAAAACTAATGAGGTAGAAATAGTATTTTTCAATTTTTTTCAGTACAAATATTTTTAATATAAAGTGAGAAATTGGACAATTATTGTGTAACTGAAATATATTTGAAAATGTAGAAAATCATTCAAAAATTTATAATTTAAATTGGTATTCTATTATTGTTTAATAGTGCAATTAATCACAATTATTTTTAATCTCATGATTAATTGCAATTTAAAAAAAATAGCCTACAAATTTGACAGCCCTACAAATAAATGTGTTCAGTGGCTCAACTGTATAATATAAAGCAGCTAACTAGTGAACTTCCAGACTGGCTTTCAATTGAATTGTAAGAAATATCTAAAATACTGTAATTGTGGCAGCGTCAGGAATAGAAACCACAACTCCAGACTCCCTGTCCTGTGATTTAGCCACAAAACTACCTCCGCCTCCAGCAGATGTTATCTATAGTTCTAAAGATTTTTGCTAAAAACATGTGCAATCTCAAAAACTGATTAAGAAAACACAACTTTTTAAGCAATTTGTGCCTGTGTTGAGCAGATTGTATTTGACTGATTTTATGAGCTTTTTTATCTTTCATTAAAAGTCTTATCTGAAGTTCCTCATGCCACCTGACACTTACCTAGAAAACCCACTGCCTCTATGAACATCTTAGGCTCCACAACAGTTACTATTTAACTCAAGCGCTAATGAAGGTTAAACAATCTATTTTGTTACCACCCAATTGTCTACAAAAGCCCAAGATTATGTTTAGTCTCATCACCAAATAAGACTACTGTGTTTAAGGATATAAAAAGCTGAATGTATCCTCTACTATCCACCACAAAGAGGAGTTATTCCTCAGCTAACCAAATGTGAGAAGGTATCTGTAGCTCCTTGACTGACTAGTTCTGATGGGGAAGCTTTCTTTTTTATCTTCTATGGTAAGACAAATAGGTGGTATTTCCATTCTGCTCCAAATAAAGAATTCATACAACAGATGTGAAGTGAATTTATCCCCATCTGAGCATTTGCCTCTGTTATTGTAAACACTACTGCCACCAGATAAATTTTAGCTTAAGCTTTCTCCTGTGTTTGGTTATTCTGAGAACCTATTCCTCAGAATTCCTCTATTCTTGGTTCCTTATGCCCCAGAGATAAACCAACCTTTTTAATATCCTAGGTTGACACTAGTAATACTCACCTGACCAGATGTTAGAGCCAGCAAAAAGAATTCTGCATTTCAGGATTCTATACCAAACAAATTAGTCAGCAAGCGAAAGTCCTGCATAGAGAATGCCACCCTATTACAATGGCTTTTTTTTTTAATTAGGTCAATTCACCACAAAGCCAGTCCACACAATCTAAATCACACATCTTCTGTAGGATTGAGCCATTTGAGTAACCATCTCTTATAGTGAGCCATGTGTGCAAAAGCATTTAATCCTGCACACAGATAACATTTGCAGCCTACAGTTGGGTTATTGGGTAAGCTCTAAGATATTTTTTTTTTTAATAAAATGAGATTTTTAGGATGAAAGACTTTTTTTAGTTTTAGTGAATGAGTCTGAAGTCGTGGTTGTAATTTTAAGATGTCAACTAAATTTAGGGCCAAACTCTATTTGGAGATATTTCTTATACCATTCCTAGAATAAAGTATATTAGAATGAGCTTCAAAATATTCTAGATTTTAAAATTTAAAAATTCCAACAGCTATCTAGAACAGTTTACAGCAGGGCTACTCAATCTTTGAAGCCCCAGGGGCCACAATGATACTCACAGCACATGCCGAGGGACACAACTTAAGTGTGGTTGCGTACACATGCAAACATAAATGCAAATAGCTTCTTTCACACTGATGGGCATGAATACAAAGATTAAGGCAAGACTACACAATACCCAGGCCCCATTTAAGTCAGTTCTGCTGATATTAATAAAATGCAATATTCACCCAATATTCACCCATATGACAGCGCTTTTAATGAGCAATGACAGTCTAGGAATTTAACTATTAAAATGTATATCAACAGAACACCATTATATTGATTACTTTTTTTTGTTTGTTTTGGCTCCCATCAGCAGGCCGCAAACAAATAGGCTGCGGGCCGCATGTTGACCATGGGGCACGTGATGAGCAGCCCTGGTTTACAGTATTATAAATGTCCGTAATAGTAATTTTGGGGTAAATTTTTAAAGGCATTTCAACTTGGATGCAAAACTGCAGTTGCTTGTAGTTGTGGGAGTAAAAAGACAATATGAAGAATTCCGAAGGCCTAATTTTTGGTCACAATCAGGCAGGTTTACATTTTAATATTATAACTGGTATTCACATTGAACTACACACATTCAACTGACCGAAGGTACAAAATTAGAGAGAAAAAACGCTACAATTATGGTCCTTAAGATTTTTGAAAAAAAAAAACAAAAAAAAACCACCTCATTTCTCCCTTTCCTCATTTGTCTTGTCTTTTCATTAATTTTTTAACTATTCACGCACAAATATACCAAATGTAAAATGTCTTTTTTATAATTCTGTGTATTTATATTCCCTAGATTATGTCTTGAGACTCCAATCCTCCTTTGTTTCCCCTGGAAGTTGAACAACCTTCCTGGTTCCCACAGACACTCTAATGCAGCATGGCAATGATGCTTTTGAAGTGCTGAACCAGCAATTGTTGCAAAGGATTCTAGGATCAGCATAAAAGTCTTTCCTACGGATCAAAAGGAGACCAGTAGGGAAACTGGGATGGCTGCCAAGATGAATGGAAGGCAAAAGGACTAGGGAGTTTCCAAACAAATTTAAAACAAAAAAAAGTTAAAGAACAAGCTAAGTGTGTGACTTGAATTTCCTTCATGGATATAATTATTTGTGAATTGCCATTGCTCAATGCAATTCACATAGCTGCAAACAACTTCTAAATCCAAAGAGAGCTATGTTTCAAGCTACAGTCTTCCTCTTTACCTATTTTGATAGTCTATAGTTATGGGACTCGCAGTGGCAAAAGCCCTTGAGATAATGCCCAAACAACTGCTACCAATTAAATAGGAGAATGGCTGTGTTCCACTTAACTGCATGGAAATAGAAAATATAAATACACACAAAATAATACAGTCATCAAGGGCTTTTGTCTGAGAGTACAGAATTCCTGATGAATAAATTCCTCAGAATTCCATAGTTTTGAATTTTGCACACCCACCTTTTATTTGGGAGTTAGATGGGAGAGTTGCTGGACTGTCTGACTACCTCACACTTGTCAAGTGATTACGGAATATGTACAGTTCTTTAAAAATGTGCTCAGGTGATAATCTAAAACAGGAAAAAGTATAAGCAAAAACGATCTCCCAAGGTGTGAGTGATAGGCCCAGAACAGATTTTGTGGTTCTACAGAGTCAGCACTCTTCTCTTAAACAAAAAAAAAAAAAAAAAAAACAAAAAAAAAAACACACACCCAGATGGGGTGAGAGTAGTGAAAGAATGCAGAGTCAGGAACAGCTGCTATGGAATGTCAGCGCATTAGCAAAACAAAAGCACAGAACTCACCTCACAGCTGAGAAATCACAAGGTAAAAGTAATTAGAAATTTGTGCTTATTTTAGATCATGTCAAGTGTCAGCAGCTTCACCTTCCTGCAGGCCCTGAGCATATTTCATTTTTGGATGAACAATATGAACATGCCTGAGATGCAACTAGAAGATTTTCACACAATATGACTGCTGAAATTGATAAGGCATATTTAAGGACATTTAGTGAGTTTTGCCTAACTGATAACACTGCTGATTCAAGAAACAGGATAAACTGGCATGAAGAGTGTCCTTAGATTTCATTAAAATGCTTATAAGCACCACTTTTCTGTTTCTAAATTGCCTATACTAGTCCGCTATGCACATTCTGACATCACAATATGACATTAAAGAATACTGGGTAGTAAAAAAGAGGAATATTATAGTATTGGAATAACACCTGTTGCATAGAAGCTTTTATTCTAATGGTCTCTTAGGGTATGTCTACACTACCCTCCTAATTCGAACTAGGAGGGTAATGTAGGCATACCGCACTTGCAAATGAAGCCCGGGATTTGAATTTCCCGGGCTTCATTTGCATGAAGCCGGCCGGCACCATTTTTAAATGCCGGCAGTTCGAACCCCGGGCTGCGCGGCTACACACGGCACGGAGTAGCTAGTTCGGATTAGGCTTCCTAATCCGAACTAGCTGTACTCCTCGTGGAATGAGGATTCGAACTGCACGGCACGGGGTTCGAACTGCCGGCATTTAAAAATGGCGCCGGCCGGCTTCATGCAAATGAAGCCCGGGAAATTCAAATCCCGGGCTTCATTTGCAAGTGCGGTATGCCTACATTACCCTCCTAGTTCGAATTAGGAGGGTAGTATAGACATACCCTTACAGATTATACCAGCAGAGAATCTATGCTCCATCTTCTGCTTCCTCTCCCAGACTCCTGTCTGCTCTCTATCAATATAAGTACCTACAGATGGATGCAAGTTACATTGCTAAAGAGCAATAGAATAGTCCATACCCTTGAATGCTTAGTCTCTTAAAGCGTTAATTGTGAACATCAGTTCAACACCACTGAGACAATGATTCACTTCTCCCACAGCACAGTACACTTTGAGGATCCAGATTTAAAACGTATTTACATTCTGCACAGGCAGTTTATACACTCTTTATTGTACCTTGACATCCAGCTTTCCCAAATGTTGCAAAATCCAAATACGATGGGACCAGGCATTGTAGTTGCTTGGATACCTCCCAGCAGCTTCACAGCAGACATCCATTTCCTCCTGTACCAATCGTTGAATTCTTTCCACAGGCACTGTTCCCAAGTTCCCTTTAGTTACAAGAGTTGGCAAGGAGTTTTCCTGAATTAGTTGTTGCAGCACCCATCGTCTGGTTAAATGGTATAGAGGGTTAACAGTGCAAAAGCATTTTTAAGAGAAAAACATTTTGCTTTATTCCTTATTTCTTTATATAAATTGACCAAGATATGTGGTGTTTCCCATCACCTTAATACAGAATAAACTGGAGATTAGATAATCAAGCCAACAGGCTATCACCTATCAGCTGTTCAGATACAGAGTCTTCAGTTAAGAACACATTTAAGAGTAACAAAGAGTGCTGACATTAGATATGACCAATAACTGTAAATTGCTTAATATAGGTTGAACCTCTCTAGTCCAGCACACACAGGACTAGGGATGTTTGAATGTAAACAACTAACCATTTAACCAGTACGTGGATGCTTATCAGTTAACGGTGTCATTTTCACTTAGCAAAGCCTCTTCTATGGGAATGGCCCCACTTCCAGGGAGGCTTACCTGTGGGCTCTGCAGTATAAAGATAAGCTTTATGCTGCAGAACCCACAGTACAGGTAACCATGTAACTGCTGAGATTTTCAGCAGTTACATGGTTACCCTAATACACAGTTTTTAACATCCCTACTTGGGATCTGACCAGTGCCAAACCAAGAGAATCTGCCAAACCATAGGAGATCAATATTGTCTAGCAACATTACCAACATTGTCACTGCTTATTGGGTCCTTAGAAGACATTTAGGAGTGAATTAGAGCTTAAAAAATAGCACAGAACACTCAGAGCCAGGAGTGGTGGCTGTAAACAAAATTTATGGGACCGCAGGAAACTTGGCTATACCCATGATAAGTAGACATCCCACTAACTAAAATCATGCTGAACTATAAATGTTGCCGGACCAGAGATTGCCCAACCAGAGTGGTTCAACCTATAGTGAGAATTTGGGAAAGTTAATAAAAAAAATTTTACCAAAAAACCTGAATATACAGATTTGAAAAACAAACAAACACACACAACACACACCCACACTCCATGGAATAAGATTAAATTAGATTTTGAATTCCCTTTTGACAAGACAGCCATAGTGTTTATGCTGAAAAGAGATTATATAAAAATATATTTTACTCAACAGATTTGCACCATGTGGATTCAATTTTACAGGCTGACTTTAGTCAAAAAAGAAAAAAAGACTTTACTGCTTTTTACTTGTTAGCCCTGCAGAGTCAGTACAGCTAAGAACAAGTAAATCATATTCTATTTCTTCCTGTGCATCAGTAACTGTTCACTAACTTCTAATCAGTTACACTTCTTCAAATCTACTGAAAGCAGTGAAGGTACACAGGAATCAATGAGGCCTCCGTTTCACCTGCAGCACCCTTTATTACTGGTGATGATATACAAGGAATAAATAAAAAAACCCAGCTTAACTTTGAGGTCCCAAGCAGAGACTGTTTGGCTAGCAGTTTGAAAAACAAAACAAAGACCTTTTCACTAGGAAACTAGCCACATGTGAGCTGGAATAACTGAGAACAGATTCACGCATTACATTTTATTTTATTATTAATGGACACTTCTAAAAAATGTGAACTGTATTTTAAGCCACTGCCTCAAAACTGCAATAGATATACTGACTGCTTATACCATCTTCATGTCAAAGTAAAGCTGTAAATATATTTGTCCTATTAAGTTTGTTTCAAATACCTTTTATTTGAAAAGGTATTACAAACATACAATGGTCAACAAACAGCATATAAACAGACAGACAATGCTGCAAGAGGGGATTCTATTGAAAGCTGAGTGGACCTCTAGAACAGGACCCACAGGCTATGTCTACACTCATGGCTTCTTGCGCGAGAAATATGCAAATGAGGCTAAGCATGGACTATCGCCGAGCCTCATTTGTATACCTAATAAGCCACCATTTTTGCAGAAGAGGCTTTTGTGTCAGAAGGAGCTGTCTACACTGCCCCTTCTTGTGCAGGAAAAACCCTTTTGTGCAATGTTACTACACCGATTATTTTCAGGAATAACAGCATTGTGCAAGAGGGGGTTTTTTGCGCAAGAAGGGGCAGCATAGACAGCTCCTTCTGGCAAAAGAGCCTCTTCTGCAAAAATGGCAGCTCATTAGGTATGCAAATGAGGCTCGGCAATATTCCACGCTTAGCCTCATTTGCATATTTCTGACACAAGAAGCCGCGAGTCTAGACATAGCCACAGGTTTTAACAATGGAGACCAAAAAATGATACCCTTATATCCACTTTGTTTTGGCTCACTTTCATTTCAAATGCTACCAATGTCATTCCACATGTTTGAAGAAATGTCCTCAATAAAGATCTAAAAACTAAAAACAACCAGTTCAGAGTGTCTCATATTTCTCCCATGCACTCCCCTTTTTTCACCCAGAGTTTCTCTTTTTCCCTAATTAGTATGTGCAAAACCCACCTCAATAATAGAGGAAACTTGCTGACCAAATACTGTACAAGAGAAACACTAAAACTAACTATACATAGTCTCCTTGCCTGTTACTTTGAAAATAATAGTACAGATAGATAAAATTTCGAGAGAGAAAATGTGATTTTCAAATTGACTGCATTTCCAATCTGAGATCAAGAATGCCGGATCAAATTATTTGTAAGTCTGCTTCGGATATGACACTCATTGTAGCTAAAAGAGGGCAGCAAGCCAAGCTACAATCTTTGATTACTTCATTTAGAAGAAGAGGGAATCCATGTCACAAATGCAGGAACCAATGATGCCCAAACATGGGAGTTTTTTGCTGCTCAACTGCCAAAATGCAAAAGTGGGACACTGAGTGACAAACACCCAAAATGAGAGATGAAAAAAATGTGCTTATGCAGGAAAATTAAAAGATGCGTGATTTCTTTAACAAATACTGTAAAGCATAAAACATGAATTTCTAATTCTTCATTTCTATGTAAATAATTTTAACACTAAACAAATACATGAAGGGCAACAAATACATGTGAAAGAATACCTAGCTTTATTTCTTAAGAAGTCACTTATAGTACATGATATAATTTATAGTCCAGCACTGTCTAACACTGGGCTGGGCAAAAGATCCAAAACACTGGATCCAGCCCACAGACACAGTGGGGAGCCTCAGGCAGGTACCCTGCTTGCCTCACCCCACCCACATGCCGCTCAGAAAAGAGGCTGCTGGTGGTTCCTTTCACATAACTCTAAGCCCGGAAGAGGAGAGAGGAGGGGGCAAGGCTTCATGGCCTCATCACAAACCCATTAACCAGTTTGTGACCAATGGGAACTGCCCATTCTCCAGCCTCTCCTTCCCCCAAACCTCTGTCCCCTACTCTCCCGTTTTGGATAGGAGAGGTGCTTGCCAGCACCGGGTGACTAATGGGTTAAACTCAGGTAGCTAGTGGAGGTTTGGCAGAAAACCAGAGAAGCCAATGGGAAAGACTGATTAAATTTGATCTGTACAGGCAGTCCCCGGGTTACGTACAAGATAGGGACTGTAGGTTTGTTCTTAAGTTGAATCTGTATGTAAGTCGGAACTGGCGTCCAGATTCAGCCGCTGTTGAAACCGATCAGTTTCAACAGTGGCTGAAACTGGACGCCAGTTCTGACTTACATACAGATTCAACTTAAGAACCCCAGGCATCCCCAAGTCAGCTGCTACTGAAACTGATCAGGGGCTGATTCCAGGAAGCCCGGGGCAGGGGCTTCCTGTAGTCAGCCACTGGTCAGTTTCAGCAGCGGCTGGGCTTGG